CCTTGGGCAAGTCACACTCTCTCAGAGGAAGGCAGTGGCAAATGTCTTCCGATCAAATCTTGCAAAAACAAACAAACCCACACACACACCTTGTTTTCTTGACAAAGTTTGTCTTAGAGTAGCCATACTTTGGAAATGACATGAAGATGCACAACAACATCTCAACCTGGACTGCATAAATTGATTCTCATTTGTGTTTGTTGGGTACCTTCGAGTTGTTTCTGACTTAAGGTAACCCTAAGATGAATCTATCATGGGGTTTTCTTGGCAAAACCTATTCAGAGGGGGTTTGGTCATTGCTTCTGTGTGAGGCTGAGAGAGTGTGACTTGCCTAAGGTCACCCACTGGGTTCCCATGGCCGAATAGGGACTTGAACCCTGGTCTCTGGAGTCATAGTCCAATTCTCAAACCACTACACCACGCTGCCTCTCTTGGGATGAGTTCCTAGTCCTCATTTTTGTGCATTCATGCATCCTCTCCCTATATATGCCTGCCTGAAGAGCAATCCCTTGTCTGAAGAAATGGGACAGGGTTTTCTCTGCAGTGGCACCCTCATTATAGGATGGATGATGATGATGATGATGATGATGACGACGATGATGACGATGACGATGCCCTCCCCTTGGGAGCCCTGAATGAAATTAGCATTTGACATCATTCTGGAATCTGTTGAAAACATGTCTCTTTTGTTGGATTTTATTATATGTTATAATTTATAATTGATTTAATAAATTTTTAAGGGGGGGGAGAATTAGTTTTTACAGTTGTATGTATATTTTATTCTTGTTAGCTGCCCTGATTGATCTCAAAGGGGTGGAATATAAATAAACTTTATTATTATTATTAATCTTTGGGTGCCTAATGATTTCTTCCAACACCAGCATACATGTAGAGACAGTGTGGTGCAGTGGTTTCAGCACTGGACTAGGACTCTGGGAGACCAGGATTCAAATCCCCTCTCAGCCATGGAAACCCACTGGGTGACCTTGGTCAAGTCACATACTCTCAGCCCCAGAAAACCCTGGGATAGTTTTGCCTTAGTGGTGCTGTAAACTGGAAACGACTTGAAGGCACACAACAACAACTTGTACGCACCCATGGTTTTTGAATTGCTTTGGCTTCTCCGATTTACTAAACATGTTTTTGGAATGTTTACATGACTTTTCCTGTTTCAATAAATAAATAAGACTAATTTAAAATGTAAACTATTCTTGCAACTTGCCGAGAGATATTATGGGAAAGGGTGGGACAGAAATATTTCAGTTATAATAATAATAATGACGCCGACGACAATGATGATGATGGTGATGATGATGACGATAATTGTGGTAGCAGTAGTTACCGCCGCCAGGCAATTTCTAAACCCTAAATCTATATTTAAATTGCATGTTTTGGTAATCACCCCATAATTTTAATGATTTATTGAGTAGCTCATCTCATCCAGTTTGGAAAACACAGTGTCTGCAAGTACAAGAAAATAGGAAGAAGAGGATACGGCTCACACCCAAGGCACCTGAACTGAACCGGCAGGAAGTCTAGAAGTTGCTTAGGATGGATAATGAGAAACTTCTTTCTCTGGTCTTTGCAGATTATATCTTCCCACCCAATTCCTGTCCCTCTGGTCTCAGCCTCTGCAAACCCACAGCCCAGCAGATACTCCTAGAAGGCAAAGGGAAGGTAGGGAGAGAATCCAGGTTCCTCTGCAGAATAAATGGCCTTCCCGGAAGGCAGGTTTGGAAGAATCAGGTTCGATGATTACAAGGCAAAGGAACCAGAGATACAAGTTTCCCGGTCCATATACTTTTATTTGGAGGTCTTTAAGCAGAGGCTGGATGGCCATCTGTCAGGGATGCTTTGATTGGGAGTTCCTGCATGGCAGGCGGTTGGACTGGATGGCCCTTGTGGTCTCTTCCAACTCTATGATTCTATGATTCTATGATTTCCATTCCTCTCCCTCCTTCGTCCCCAAAGGCTGGAGATGAGCAGCAAAACATCTCTTCTATGACAAGCCACCTGCTGCAACAAAATGTTGCTGCGTCAAGATCTTCCGCGCAAAGCGTCCATCAGCCTTTCTTTTCCA